TACACCGTTATATTGCCTGTATATGTACATATTTATCTATTATGTAAGCTCGAAAAAGTTTCTTATTAATATAAAAAATACTACATCGTAATAAATAACTGGATGTATTATACATTTTTATTCTTTCAATTTTGTATTTTTTTCACTGTAACACTTTTAAAATATTTCACGGAAGATGTACATTTTAAGCTTATATATAAAATACACCAAATACCTATTTCTTCTAAACAAGAAGGAACCGAAGCAGACGAAAAAGAAGAGAAAGAAGAGGAAGCGCGAAAGTCCTGCCACGTCCGGTCCCCAGACTTTCGTTACTTTTGCTGCCGGGCGTAAAGTCGCACGACAAAGTTAAAGCACGCCCGGCGCAAGCTCCTTTTACTTTATAAATAATAAATTTGCAGGAGGAGAACTTGCGGGGTGGTAACGCAAGATAAAGAGAAAGAGAGAGAGAGAGAGAGAGAGAGAGAGAAAGGAGGGACCAAAAAGAGATGGTTGGTAATAAAGAGACGGCAGTAAGAGCGCCGAAGTGACGTCCTGTGTCGCGGAGCCATAAAACTGGGCCCCGGGATCTCCAGCTTACACTCTTATTAAAACGTCGTCCTGCATATTGACGGTTATTGATCACCCTTCGGTACACGTCGCCGATTTTACGATATAAGGGCGAAGCCACCTTGAAAACAACCAACGGAGAAGTATCAAAGAATTTCTTTATCCTCGAAGATTTCAATATCGATTTATGATTTCAATTTTATCGATCGATTCGTTCTTTATTCCACCAGAGATTAATATATAGATATATATTTCTTATTTCTAATTAATAATTATCATACAACGGAATAGTTAATCAATGAACATATGAAATGCCTGCATGAATTCTTGATAAATTACTTGTTAATTGTTAATATTATAATTAAATATCCCATTGGAGATTTTGAATAAGACATTAATTATTATTTATTTACGAAAATTATTTCATTCGGGATAAACTTGTATATTATTTTAATAATTAAAATAATTCGAGAACGAATTCTCAAGAAAATTTATTAAAATTATATAGTAGCTGTTAGATAAGTTAGAATGGATCATTCACTACGATGATTCGTCAATGGTTTTAAAGGTATGTGATTTAAATCCTGATTTATTACATGTATCGTAGTATTGCAAGATCGGTTCAGGATTCATTGATACCTGAAGCTAATTGCGCCATCTGCATTCTTCAAAACAAGTTGTGCTTCAAACTGAATAGAAAATAAGGTATTAAAGAAGTTCTGTTTTACCCACCGAACAAACATAAGCCACTAATAGTAGAACTCTGTTTTATCTGCCAAACAATCATTCATTCATTCGCTACTTTACTACACTATCACTATACTACTACTATTACTATTACTACTACTACTACTATTATTAACACATTCATTGATCTACTTTAATCTAGCTTCTTTCCCCAAGTCTGATCGATATAATTGTTCCTCTTCACAATTAACCTTGTGGATCTTTAAAGTACACAAGCTTCTCCTTTACAACAAGGCTCCTTTACATCCCAAAGAAGTCCTTACAAAGGAATGACTACTGTTGTAACTAATAATAAATAAAGATTAAACACGTAAATTTAAAATACAATATTATATCATTTTAGTTAAAATGATCTTATGATCTTATTATGATGGCTTTGATCTCTGACTTTACTATAATACAAATGAAGTATACTTTAAAAGAAAAAGTAACAAATTATTATTAACAAATTTGTTTGTTAATAATACTATTCTATAAGATAAAGTTTTTATACAAGCTCGCATTCTTAAATATATACACATAGAAATAATTTAAAAACATTACATTGATGTTCTACAATATGATGGTAGTGACATCTCTCGGAAATTTATGCAATTGATAATGAAAGAAATTATCCTTGGTAACTTTAGCTTATCGTTCTCTACTTAACCGATCAACGGTATATCCGTATTATTTTCTGTAATACTAATATTATATAATTATTATAAATATAAAATAATTACATTTACATATATATATATATATATTATTATTGTACCTATATTCTCCATCAAATCTACATATTTCAGATTTATTGTTGTTACTATTTTTTGTTATGTTATATTTTATTACATATATATTCCATCGCAGGTAGCATCGAACTAATGGCTATTTAAGTATGTTTTAGCTGTGTATAAATAATTAAATTTAAATGTGTATAAGTAATTAATAAGAAACAATAAATGTAAAAAATTAATAATCTTACAATTAACGAACATTCTTCAATTATTTTATCTTCAAAAAAGTAGAATCTGGCATATGGCTTTTTCTTTTGCTTTTACCAAATTAATCGGAATGCAAAAGAATACCAACTTGATTTTTTAAATATTATTTTATTATACTCCATATACATTATATATTGTTTAAATAATTATAAAATAATCTAGGGTATAAATTATTTATATTAATTAAAATTATGTTATATTTAACTTGTGTTAAGAGTTTTGTAATGTTTAAACAAATAGATTATCTTATAATTATTAATTCTACTTAATGTACATCGATTAAACGAATGTAAAATAACCATTTAATGCGAAGAAATATAAATGAAGAAAGCTGAAAGCTAATTTACTTGACAATATCAAAATCATATGTTCCCAAAGAGTTGAATTTTCCTAATCTATGAAATAGATTTCCAATCATGTATTAGAAATTTCGTTTTTTGTGATACTTCAAAATCTGAATCTATATATATACATATATATATATATATATATATATATATATATACTTTCTTTCTCTTTTCACATATTTTATTATTAAAATGCTCTATGTACATTTCGTTCAAATATCGACAAGAGTTATATATATATATGCTTAATAATAACATCAATCACCATTTCCATTATATATTTAATTATATGTGAGTATCATAAATGCTGTAGACTCAGAGTTATACCATTTGATACGTTTTTTTCTACACGTTTCTGAAACAGTCATAGAAACAAATAATTTTACAGATATGTCTAAATCAATTTCTTTTTTATAGACATTTTACGAACCATTTATAAGCTTTTTTCCAAACTCTCCATCGCCAAAACATCCAACTAATGGCACTCTTGGAAAAAATCCTTTAAATATAGTTGATTCTACATTACGTTCCTTAAATGTATTCGTACCACGTACACAACAAGCGAACATGAATCCTATAGAATGTTTTTTCAATTGTACACTATCTTTAAAAGTTCTTAATTTATCTTCAACCCTTTCTTTAGTATTACAATTTGCATCCAAAAGTATAGAACATATTCGCATTTGTATACCATTTATTATAATGGCAACGCAATTCGCACTGTTTTTACATACACGTGCATTATTTATAGAAGTACAAACTGATAAATTTTTAGCAATCCCACCCCATATAGAAGCTCTTTTGTTTGGTAACCTATATAAAAAGAAATTCTAGATATTTATAAATACAATTGTACAATCTTTATGAATGTAAAACTGTCTATAATAAATATTAGAAATATTACCAATTTTTGGATGATTTCAATAGACTTAGTGCTATAGAACGACCACTCCAATCGCACAATAAGATCAGACAACTGGTTTTACGACAATCGTTATTGAAGGGAGTCTCAAATTCATTTTTTAGCTGATTGCAATATGTTTCTTTCAAGTTCTTCCAATCGTACACATTAAAAGTAATCGTTGAAATTTTTATATTAGGTACTTCCGGAAAAAACATTGATACAATGTTGTGACTGTCTTCTTCGGATTCTGTATTATTTATTACAACGCCATAGGTGTTCAATGATATCGAGTCACAATTAGATGGTAAATTATCACAATGGCATCCTTAAAAAAATCAAACTACCTTAAGTAACAATTCATTTCATGAATCAGTACATAATTAAACGTACTTTCTGAAAGTGGATCTTCACTTCCAACAGTAAAAAAAACAGTTAAACTAGGTTTAACTGTTGAACATTCTATAATTTCTTGTTTTAAACGTTCCCAAGTAAAAACCATATATCTCGATTTTCTTTTATTTTTTATAATGCACGACGGACCTCTCGTTCTTTTTTCACTATTTGCCACTTCCAACCAAGATCTATAATTATGGAAAAATCTTTCAATGTGTACAATCTTTATTTTCTAAATAGACTTTTCATCATCATATGTTATAAATGCTTGTTATAATTATACCTGCAAACCTGTGACGCATTAGACAAATCCAAACCATTTAAATATTTAAAAATAATACACAATACGTCGTAGGTTAACTTTTGCCATGATTTGAAAATGTTTTTATGATCCTTAGTATTTTCATCTTCATTTTTTTCTTTACTTCTTCCAACATGAGTTCTTTTACGTAATTGCTCCATTCACAATAATATTCAATATAAAAATATATTTATTTCAATCTTGATTAATCAAACAAATATTATAAACAATATTATATCAAACGATATAATTTTAATTGCTTGTCAAAGAATGATAAATTTCATGAATGTATTTTATAAACAAATGAATATAAATCAAACTTGTAAAGTTTTGATGTAAACCTTATGTCAAACAAATAAATTTTAAGAAAAGCGATATTTATTATTCTACGGTGTATCACAAACATTCCAGGGACAGACGCAATCTTAAGGCCGATTTCCAAGTAGATGGTTCACTACTTAATTTACTATTAAATTCAACATTCGTTTATTAGTTATTTCTCGTCGAAAACTGTAAATTATACAAACATGAATGATCTGTAAAAGATTTTGTCAATAATTCACGTAGATTCTACAAATCTAGTTTGTCAATGGTACAAATAGTGTATGTAAAAACTTTCATCAATATTTAGTAATATTTTACAAATTGTCTTTAACTGTAATTACTGTAATTAGCCATTCTCGCTTCTTAAGATATTTTTAAAATAATACTTCAAAATGGCAAAAAGAAAGCTACCGAAAGAAGTGTGTCATGAAAATAGCGATGAAGAGTTTTTGTTGACTCCTTGAATACTGACTCTGATATAGAAAGTGATAACGTTAGTACTAATTCTGATAGCGATATAATTCCATTAAAGCGACAAGCGAGACAAATAGTGAAATAGAAGAAAATGACGAAAATGAGAACAATAGTATAAATAAATTTATTACCTGGAGATAGTTACGCACAAAGATCAGCCGCAATCAAAAATTAATTTTTCAACGAGACTTAAAATTATTGAACCTAATGTACCTGTTTATTGCACGGAACCTATCGCTTTTTTCAGATTCTTCTTTCACTGCTTGAAAAAATTGTATTAGAAACAAATAAATATGCTAAAAATAAAATGGAACAACAGAACTTATCTAATGGATCAACATAGAACAATTGGGTCGATTCGATGAAAGAAGAATTAAGAGCTTTTTTGGGCGTAATCCTTAACATGGGTACTATTCTAGTTCCTAATATGAAATCCTACTGGAATAAAGAACAGAGTTTTTTTGGGGATTAGAAGTTTGCGCAATCAATAGCTACATCTTATATAAAGTGTCAGCTAGAAGAGAAAATAAGGCTCATGTGGCACATTTTATGTTTGTCCGAAAATTGGTGGAACAACTTGTAGGTAATTTTCATGACGGAGCATCTTCAAAATCAGGAAGACCATCATCCTCAGATAAAGAGGAAAGGCTTAATGGCAAATTACATATATTACGGCACTATTAAAACATAAAAAGTAAAAATTGTTCTACATGTTCAAACTAAAATATCTTATTATTTTTGTGACACGTGTAGTTGAAAAACAGGACTTCATGTTGGAGACCGTTTTGAAAGTTACCACACGAATGAAGAATTATAAAATATAATTTTTATATAACAATATAACATTAAAATATATTTTTATGTAAATATATATCTAAAGTTTGTTTATCCTTCATAATCTTGCATATTATGTATCACTGCTCGTTCAATGGAAATTAATTGCGACCAGTACGATACCCATGTCTAAATTTAATACGACCGCAAAGAGTTAAATTGTATTTAATATATTTTTTATAATGATTCTTTAATAAATCTCCTTAATTGAAATTTATGTATGAACATATAAAAGCATTTTAATTATACTTAAGTTTAGTTTCTTTAGATAAATATAATTGTCTACAAACTTCTGTTATTGGTATATCAGAAACAGTAGGTATACCACCAGGAATAGTTTCTTTTCCATGTTGTGCATAATTATCAGTAATGGTTCTAATATCATCGATATCAGGAGTCATTAATAAATTCATAGCAGGATAAATGATAAATGCAAATGTAGCGAGAGCTGTTAAAGCCCAAATAGGAATTGCAATAGCCCAATATTTGGATGGATAATAAGATAAACCAAAGTAGTCTTTTAAAATGTTATCAGGTACTATGGACCATATGAGATAAAGTAGAAAAAGTAAGTTAGATCCAATGTACATAGCATATCCATAAACTGCTCTAGGAACATATGGTGCAGGCGTATGCTCCATCCTTTTTTTTTTTTTCTTGTTTAATACATAAACAGACAAACAAATCTTATATTCAAACCAAGTATATTGGAAACTAATAATAATCGTACATAGATTCTGGTGGTCCAAATTGTTGGATAGTTTCTGTAACTAAGGTTAAACTGTCAAAGAAAGACGTAATACCAACGCGAAGTTTACGTACTTCTGTACTGGAAAATGATCTGAAAGAGTAATATTATATGAACACAAATTTAATCGTTGGAATATAAAATTGAATAATGTATATCACGTACATTTGTAATTGATTATCTTTCTGTTCTATTTTTTTAATAACACCAGATCTTGGAGGTTCCTTATCTACTCTGAGTACTTGGTAAACAACATCCGCTTCTCTTGTCGTTGCAAATGCTATCGAGAATTCTCTATTGAATATTTAATTTATAAATATTATGTATTTATTCAATATTTCTATTTAATTGAAAGTTATATATAAAGATACATACACTTTATAATCATTCATCGCAAATGTTATTAGAGCAATTGACGTCTAACTAAACTAAACTAAATAAAGATGGCGGGATAATCACGTGTGTACATTATCAAAGCAAGTTTTCAATACAGCTAGTTATATCATGAAACAATCAATGGTTAGAGAAGATACTCGATATGTGGATTCATGTTTTTATATAACTTTTTGTTAATTATTAACTAAATCGTATAATCATAAATTTTTAATCAAATGAATTAAAATTATAACTTATTTTGTTAATTTATTTCATCATAATAACACTATTCAACATTTGTTAAGCGTTGTTTTACAACTACTTTTTTCATACGATTGTGTATCGATCCTAAAGTATTTGACGTATACTATTCTTGTGATTTCTTATACTTGAAATTATACCAAATAAAATACCTGAGTGGGGACAATCGAGAATAGCACAAGTAGGTAAGCCCATTTCTTCTCGACGAAAATTTTTCATTTATCTGTGACGCTTCACGTGGTGAACATAGAAGACAACATAACCAAGCAATCATATAAATAATTACGTATATAAAAAACATTACGTAGTACATTTTCTAAAAAGTATAAATCAAAATGGGACGCAGGAAGAGTAAACGAAAGCCACCGAGTAAAAAGAAAGCTATACAACCGTTGGACACACAATTTAATTGTCCTTTTTGTAATCACGAGAAATCATGTGATGTTAAAATGTAAGTTTATTTTAATTATAAATAATATTTATATCAAGTTGTATTTCCTTATAACAATTTTCATTCATTTTTAGGGATAAATCTCGGAGTACAGCAAGAATTACATGCAGAGTTTGCTTAGAAGATTTTCAAACGACAATAAATCTTCTATCCGAACCATTAGATGTATATAACGATTGGATCGATGCATGTGAAAGTGCAAATTAATATATTTTAATTTATATGTAAGGAGAAATTTAATTAAAATGTTTTATATTAGTTTATATATCATTCGGAATACTTGCATTATATTTTCATATAATAATGTCAGGAACTCAATCGAGAAGTATTCACGATGTGCAAACCAGTATTTTTCCTAGTTTTGTAATTGTCATGTTATATGTATATATTATACAACTATGTATATTCCAATATTAATCTTAATGGTAGAAGAGTATATCTGTAAGATAATTGTAATGACTATCTTTAAAATCTTTAAGATTTTTTAAATGTTTTAGTAATATAAACAAAATGAAATGACTTTCTGATATATTTTTACATAGATTTATGTCAAAAAAAAAAAAAAATATATTACGTATATCAATGTATTCTATAAAATGAACAAAATATAAAATGCTTCTTATTGCATTTTATCTAACCCTAAAGGTCGATCTTTTTTTCTTTTTTTCTTTTTTTCTTTTTTCTTTTTTTTCAAACGAACAAAAATAAAGAGAATCATTCAAGATTTCGGCAAAACAGCAAATAGCTTTTCTTTTTTTCTTTTCTTCTTTTTTGTAACTTTTCCTTTTATATATAAAGTAATGATTAATTTATATATGTAGCAATGATATGGCAAAAAATGTTAAGTAATAGCGTACGGAAAGATGAAAAGAGGGGGAGAGAGAGAGAGAGAGAGAGAATGGAAATAAAAAAAAAAAAAAATGTTAGAAATGTAATAGGAATCAAGGGACTGTTCTCTCGCAATAGCTCTCTCTCCATAGAATGATGGTATTCTGGCGCAGTCAAGATGGCGTTCGATCGAGAGGAATACGCTCACTAGAAAAAGTACGTGGAAAAAAATGCCGCGTAAAGGCAAGAGCGACGCGTGCGAACGTGCTTGAAGTTTCGCTTTTGTCGTTTAAAGATTTCGATAACCTCGTGATCGTCCGCCATCCGGGCGGGCCGAATTTTAAAATGCCGACGTGGAAGAGCTCAGACGTAATTAGACGGGATACCAGATTCGTTTGCTGATTCTCAAACGCGTTTGCCGGAGAACCGCGATCGTCGAGCGGCGAACAACGACGCTATGGCGTCCATCGGAGCCGTGTATGTGTGTGTCAATTTTTCATCTACAATTAACGACTAATTAAATGGTCACTTCTTAACTCACGAACAGCAACAGGATCGTAAGAGATTTTCTTTTAAATCAATCATTATACAAAGGGATTTCTTGATAGCTCTTAAACGAGTTGCATACTTAAAAAACACAAACACTTTTCTGAACTGCCTGGCTTTCCTTCTGTACGTTTGACAGTTCTTATATTTCAATTAACTCGAATACCATTATGAATGTCTCATCGTGTTTAAGATTCCGATTATATCGGTATCATTTTCTATGCACCTTCGTAAAGATATGTTCTAACCCCAATACCAGGCATCATAAACTGTTTGATTGTCGCCAAAGTTCTCGCGGGGGTCAAAGCATTTAACGAGCGTGTGTCCATTAGGCACTTTCAAAAACTGATTTAAGCATATTCGTCTATACGAATTGATAGAAACAAGTTGTTGTCAAATAAAGATAATATAAAGTACTATCTTTCTATTTACTACTTTTCAGAATGTTTTTACATTAGGGTATTGTACCTTTATTTCCAGTATATGTCATTTATACCATTCATAATAATTTCTCCAACATATTTCATAGAGAGGAATAAATATTTATACAATATCAAAGATAAGTATATAATAATGGAGACCATAGAAAGTATGTATTATTACAGGTATAAGGGAATAGAAAATTATGAATGAACAATGTAAGAGACAAATATAAACGTCACAGTTGTCACAGTGTTGTGTACAAAAGTGTTAAGACATTCCATGATTTGGTATGATATTTTGAGGGGATATATATATCCTGATTTACTAGATTTTGCACATCATGTCTAATAGTTTGGACAGCTTTTTAACGCGTATTGGGGATGTCACTATTGAACGTGTGACACCTCGTGGGGGCCCTAAATCTAATGAAGCAGCAGTTCAGAATGAACCTTCGACAAATACAAATATGAATAATGCAGAACCACAGACGGCTAACGAGGAGAGCTCCGAAGAGTCCAGTGGGGAATCATCCGACGGGGAACAAGAAAAGAAGCATGGTGCCCTGCATACGGAAGAAATAGAAGAAATACATTCAGAAGGTTCAGGAGACGACATGGATCTGGACGAAACAATCGATTCTCAGATCGGTGTGAGGGTAGATTCTGAGAGGCAAAGTCATTGTCCAGCCGAAGAAGATGACGAAGAACCAGTTAATATTTTGGATACTTTACCATTGGAAGGTTTGTATTGAACTTAGTACAATATTACATTAATAATTGGACAAAAAATATTATATATTTAAATATAAATTAAATCTCTGATTCTATTTTTAAAAAAGGGGCGCCGATTGAAGGGCAAGAGGTATCTGAAGCTGACTTACTTGGAAAACCTATTTCCAAGGATACAGATGATGAAAGTGTGGATAATGAGAAAACAGGATCTCATTCTGGAGCAGAAGATGGGATAGATGGTAATAAGAGGCATGGAGATTCTGAACATTCTGAAAATGTAAAAAAGAAACAAAAAAAAGATGATGGTACTGAAGAGTCCACATCAGAATGTGAAACAAAAGCAGAGAAAAAGTTAGCAAATATGAGAAGAAATATCCGTGAGGTTATGGATGAAACTCAACTTGACGAAGCTACATTATCGGCTCAACGACAAGAAATGGAACGTTTGCGACGAGTACAAGAACAACAAAGGATAATTCGGGAAGTACAACGTCAAATGACAATTAATCGTCAAAATAATAAAACACAAACCAGAGTGATTAGTCTCTTACAAGGTAAACAAAATCAGGCAGGAACTACAATTTCCCAATCATCCTCCTCATCATTATCATCTTCGTCTACTCAAGTTCGTTTACCTAATACTGTACTATTGAAAGTAAATTCGAGTTCAGGAACAGGATCTCAAACAGGTTCTAATCTACAGTCTGGACAGATTCAAAGAAAATCCATAGAAGGAACACGTTGGCAAAAGGGTAGAGGTGTTTATCCAAATGCTCAGACATCTATTTCACGAGTACCAAATCGTTCTGTTGGTCCAACTATGTTACAACAAAGAATAAGAATGATGACACCTTCTGTAAGCATCTCACCCGTGGTTCCTAAAAAAGAACCTATTGATAGACCAGAATATTATTCTGATTCTGATGTATCTGATATTGAAGCAGAAGAAGCATTGCGTGAGAAACATATGCATCTGGCACGAAAAATGTCAAGTGGCCCTAAATCTCAAAAAGTAGCAAAAGGTAAAGATGTAGTAACAATATCTAGTTCTAGCGAAAGTTCAGACGATGATTGCATAGTACTAAGTGATCCTAGCGGAGAGGAAGAAACTGACAATGAGGATGATCCATCTAATTCAGGCATGCATACAAATGATAGATACAACATTCCAGATGAACATGGTAGAGTTTTAATCAATGTAGGGCATCCTGAGATTGAGCCAGATGTGTTTTTAGCTCCTCAGGTAGCACGTATCATTAAGCCACATCAAATCGGTGGTATACGTTTTCTATATGATAATATTGTT